AATGTTTTCCACTCACTTGTGGACATATTGTCATTCATGGTACATTTTTTGTCGTTTGATTACAGGATAAACGCTCGTGCTCATGCGCACTATGATTTATCGAGTTATTCTCAATCAATTCTGCTCAATCACTTTGAAAATCATTAGCTCATACTAAAATATTGCGACATGACTATTCTTTTTTTTTCAGAAATCTTTGCAGAAACGATATGAACCCACTAACATTTAGCTGTTTCGAACAAAATTTAAAACAATCTTCTACTCATCTATGGCCAGCTTAACCTTAAGAAATGACTAAACATAATCAGCTTAAGGACCCTTTATGTAAAATAGACAATTTAGGTGACATCAAGATCCAGAAAGGTCACTTGGTTGAAAGGAAACTCTTTGGCATAACTAAACAGAAATCATTATCCTTTACTAATCCCTTCTGGTAGCATCAGGCTACCTGACTGAGACAATTTTGTGATAGACCTGCAGCTCCACTGTCTCCAGAGTACAATAGCTGTCCTTTAAAGTTTAAATTTAAATTTTTTTAAAGCATTTTATATAACAACATAAAATTAGTGCAGCGCTAAAAGTAGTGATAATAAGACAGATATAAGTCCACTGAAAGTCTTGGTCATATGGACGTGTCCAGTGACAAATGAGGATTCAGAATTGGTGATCCGTGTGGAAACGACTGAAAAACGCACTCACCAGAAGTAAGACACATAAACGCAGTGTGCATCTAGAGCTCATGGATCCTCAATCCAGAGGGGGGTAAAGCTGGTCCGGTTACAGGAATGGTGGATCCCTCCTCTGTGGATGCAGCAACAGATCCTCCTTTTCCCGATTAGGTGTAGGATTCCAAGATCAAGATTCTGCAAGCAAAAGCTCCTCAGGGGAGTTTTAGGGAAGGACACCCATAGTGTAGTAGGTTATAAAAAGCAGCTTTATTAAAATAATAGTATCCAATTCAAAGTAGGCAGGTATCATAAAGATGTGTCAGCAAGACAAACTAACCCTGACACTCTGAATAATGGCCGCCGGGCCTCCACGTGGCTCCGGCGGCGTAGCGTCTCGACGTGCGCACGCACATCTTCAGAGGTATGGAACCATGGTTCAATGGTTCCATACCTCTGAAGATGTGCGTGCGCACGTAACGCGTAAGGAGGAGCCTGGACGTCGAGACGCTACGCCGCCGGAGCCACGTGGAGGCCCGGCAGCCATTATTCAGAGTGTCAGGGTTAGTTTGTCTTGCTGACACATCTTTATGATACCTGCCTACTTTGAATTGGATACTATTATTTTAATAAAGCTGCTTTTTATAACCTACTACACTATGGGTGTCCTTCCCTAAAACTCCCCTGAGGAGCTTTTGCTTGCAGAATCTTGATCTTGGAATCCTACACCTAATCGGGAAAAGGAGGATCTGTTGCTGCATCCACAGAGGAGGGATCCACCATTCCTGTAACCGGACCAGCTTTACCCCCCTCTGGATTGAGGATCCATGAGCTCTAGATACACACTGCGTTTATGTGTCTTACTTCTGGTGAGTGCGTTTTTCAGCCGTTTCCACACGGATCACCAATTCTGAATCCTCATTTGTCACTGGACACGTCCATATGACCAAGACTTTCAGTGGACTTATATCTGTCTTATTATCACTACTTTTAGCGCTGCACTAATTTTATGTTATTTCATTCAAGTATATATTGGTTGCTTAGAGTGCTTAGCCGCTTTCAGGATTAGCGCTCACTGTTGTTGTTTTTTTCTATTTTATATAACAGTTGACAGTGCTTTGCTGTCTGATACCCTCGCAGGACAACTGGCTTGTCCCACTTGATCAGACAGATGACACAGCTCATGCAAGGGCAGAGCGGGAAAGCTTGAAATTCTTATGACTACTACTATGACTAAGAAACCGTGCATTGTTGGTGAACAGGCAGCTGAAGTAAACCGTGCATTGATTAGGGGGAGCTAGACGCTAATGGCTCGTGAGGAGATGATTAGCAGCTCAGGTGAGATAGTCAGAGGGGTCAAATTCTGGTCAGGACTGAAACACTCTGCAGGCCAACCCCACTGGAATCTCCCCCTGCTCTGAGGCTTTCAGAGGGGGGCCTTGGAGGTGGATCTGAGGAGTAGCTGGCTACACTCTGGGGGGGCATCAGCCAATCCCCAACAGGAGGCTTGGCAAGGGGCTGGACTCCCTTAAAAGTTTGCTGCAAAGGAGGAAAACGCAGGACTCGCTGGCCCCCTGAGAGAGTACAACGTGTGCGACTGGGAAGGAGCAGCCCAGCTGATAGGCCTGGTGGTAGCAGCCATTCTGCAAGAAGTGAAGGAGAGGATCTGAGTGAGTACACCTGCACCCCCTAAGCGGATAGGGGAAGGAGCTCGCTAGTGGGAAACCAGATTAGCCATCTTCTAGTGACAGTTACCAATTTAAAGGAACAGGAGCCAGATCCCCTGCATAGGAAGAAGTCTCCAGATTGATGGGTGAAGTGGAGTTCATCTAGGGTCTGGGGTAGTACAAATGGAGCGGCTGGCTAGCACTCTAACAGAGACTGTGACAGAGAACAGAAGCTGTGAATAGTTCAGAAAGTTATCTTCAGATTTCGTTTCCCTTGGGCATCCTATACATCCCTTACCCTATCCAAGTTCTAATTCCCTCAATCAAATAACAAGACCAACGCTGGCCTGATTTCTGTCTACGAATAAAAGCCGGTGTGGAAAATGCTAACTGACTGGCTGTGCAAGACTGTAGGGAGACCCAAATTCATCAGCCACCCCTAAGGGGGTAGTGCTACAGTGAGTTGAATACCTAAATGATCATCTGGTAAAACTGTTCGGGTGAGGGAATTTTAGAGCCTCTGAAAAGGCTCATTGCAAGGTATGTGAGCTGCTTGAAGATAGGATGAAAAAATGGCTGCCAAATAGTCAAATCTATTATTGTGAATCTATATATTTTTGGTTTTATGTTTAATGTGTTTGCAAGTTAACAATTTATAGGTATATTTTACATCTATTTTAATTGTTTGTGAAAAGCATTTACTGAAAATGGAACGCTGAACAAAAAAAATACAATTTCTGTGTGTGGCTCTGTTAGCAATATTAATTTTCACTTTCTATTCCAATAATACTCCTAAAATGAGAAACGCTACAGCTGTCATGCCAGGAAGTAAGGTAAATCTCCCATTGGTAACAGACACCAATTAAAAACTTAACATGTCTAACCCTTCCCCATTCTAACTAAATCTAAAAACAGATTTTTTTTAACAACTGTGTATTGATTATATAAGCTACATACATGGCACTCAGTTTGAAAAGTACACAGCCTGTATGCTTTTAGCGTAAATATGTATTCAGCATATCCTGTAGGTTCAGCATAAACACACTGATTTGAGCTACACACATGAAGGCAAAAGCAGTGGGAATATTGCAGAGGAGAACTGCAAGTGAAATAAAAATCACCACTTTACTGGTGCTCTGTTTTACCGTAACATGTATAGATCACCCTATTTAACAACTGTAGAGCTGTAAAATCTATTACTGCAGATAAGCAGCTATACAAAGGGGGAGACCTGATTTCTATTATAAAGAGGGGGGCAAAAGCAGGCAGTGAATTTCTAGCTGTCCTAGAAATCTAAAGCTCTGATGCTTCTGTTGCTAAGCCAGGTTACAAGGGAAGAGATGCAAGAACATGCCATCTATTAAGGATGACAGAATAGACTATCAGTGTGACATGTTTATGGCTCTGCAGTGTCACTCTCTATTTATGATCTGCTGTCTGCAAACACAAAATTAACCTACTCATAGTGACATAGAAAGTGCAAGTCAAAGCATAGACAGAAGAAGGCAAATACTGCTCTTAGGCCTCATTCACACTTGCCCTCCTGTGTTTAGCTTTTCTAAATGCAGGAGATATGGGGGTGTTATTACGTAAAGCAAAGAGACTGTGGACTTTGCAGTCATTTTCTAAACGCAGGAGATATGGGGGTGGTTTTATGTAAAGCAAATAGACTGTGGACTTTGCAATCATTTTCCCCAGAGCTTAATAAATACGGTGAAGCTATTCTGATTTTCATCATCCAATCACATGCAAGAAAAATGCTGTTTTTTTTATTTTCCATGCACCTGAATGGGTATTCTTTTCAAAGTGAAGCTTCCTCACATTCGCTCTGAGGAAAATGAGTGCAAATGCACTTGCAGAGTGCACAGTCTATTTGCCTACCACACCATCTGGGAATATTTATGCTTCCTGTGTTCAGATGCTCCTGCTTTAACCACTTGCCCTCCAGAGGATTTATCCCCCTTCCTGACCAGGCCATTTTTTGCGATACAGCACTGCGTTACTGTAACTGACAATTGTGCGGTCATGCAACGCTGCACCCAAATAAAATGTATATCCTTTTTTTCCAAAAACTGAGTTTTCTTTTGGTGGTATTTGATCACCTGTGCATTTTTTTTTTTTTTACGCTATAAACAAAAATAAATACTGACAACTTTAAAAAAAAAACAACAATTTTTGACTTTTAGCTATAAAACATATCCATTAAAAAATGTAAAAAAATCTAATTTCTTCATAAATTTAGGCCAAAATGTATTCTGCTACATGTCTTTGCTAAAAAAAAATCCAAATACATGTAAATTAATTGGTTTTACGTGAACGTTTTAGTGTCTACAATTGGTGCTATATATACTGGAAAAAATTTTTTTATACTAGTAATGGTGGTGATCAGTGACTTATAGCGGGACTGCAGGACTGTGGCAGGCATTCTGACACTGGGTGGGAACTGACTAACTGCCATTGACATCCCAATGACACTAATACAGTGATCAGTGCTAATAAAAAACTACAAATGACACTGGGCAGGAAGGGGTTAACATCTGGGACGATCAAAGGGTTAACTGGGTGCTGTTTAACATAATGTCCTGTGTGTGTTTTACTAGAGAAACATGCTGCTGTGTATTTTTCTCTGATGTGCAGAGAAATACAAAACAGCATGTTCTTGCTGGCAGGAGAGAGACCTGTGTCGTTCACACACAGGTCTCTCCCCTGTCAGTGTGTTATTCGGCGATTGCCAGGTGCTGGTGGGGATCTCCCGCCAGGACCTGGTGATTGACATCTGTAGCCGCCAATGGTTGTGCGGGTAGGGCGGTGCACGGCAGCATGTCCCTACCCGGAAATGCTAATTTTATATATATATATATATATATATATATATATATATATATATATATATATATAATATATAAATATTTTATATTTTATACCTTTTCATGTGACAACACTGAAGAAATGACACTTTGCTACAATGTAAAGTAGTGAGTGTACAGCTTGTATAATAGTGTAAATTTGCTGTCCCTTCAAAATAACTCAACACACAGCCATTAATGTCTACATCGCTGGCGACAAAATTGAGTACACCCCTAAGTGAAAATGTCCAAACTGGGCCCAATTAGCCATTTTTTTCCTCCCCGGTGTCATGTGACTCATTAGTGTTAGAAGGTCTCAGGTGTGAATGCGGATCAGGTGTGTTAAATTTGGTGTTATCGCTCTCACTCTCTCTCTCACTGGAAGTTCAACATGGCACCTCATGGCAAAGAACTCTCTGAGGATCTGAAAAAAAGAATTGTTGCTCTACATAAAGACATAAAGATGGCCTAGGCTATAAGAAGATTGCCAAGACCCTGAAACTGAGCTGCAGCATGGTGGCCAAGACCACACAGCAGTTTAACAGGCCAGGTTCCACTCAGAGCAGGCCTCGCCATGGTCAACCAAAGAAATTGAGTGTATGTGTTCAGCGTCATAACCAGAGGTTGTCTTTGAGAAATAGACGTATGAGTGCTGCCAGCATTTCTGCAGAGGTTGAAAGAAAGCCCGCAAACAGTTTGCTGAAGGCAAGCAGACTAAGGACATTGATTACTGGAACCATATTCTGTGGTCTGATGAGACCAAGATAAACTTATTTGGTTCAGATGGTGTCAAGCGTGTGTGGCGGCAACCAGGTGAGGAGTACAAAGACAAGTGTGTCTTGCCTACAGTCAAGCATGGTGGTGGGAGTGTCATGGTCTGGGGCTGCATGAGTGCTGCTGGCACTGGGGAGCTACAGTTAATTGAGGGAACCATGAATGCCAAAATACACTGTGACATACTGAAGCAGAGCATGGTCCCCTCCCTTCAGAGACTGAGCCGCAGGGCAGTATTCCAACATGATAACGACCCCCCAAACACACCTCTAAGATGACCACTGCCTTGCTAAAGAAGCTGAGGGAACAGGTGATGGACTGGCCAAGCAGACCTAAATCCTATTGAGCATCTGTGGGGCATCCTCAAGATGGAGGAGTGCAAGGTCTCTAACATCCACTAGCTTCCTGATGTCATCATGGAGAAGTGGAAGAGGACTCCAGTGGCAACCTGTGAAGCTCTGGTGAACGCCATGCCCAAGAGGGTTAAGGCAGTGCTGGAAAATAATGGTGACCACACAAAATATTGACACTTTGGGCCGAATTTGAACATTTTCACTGAGGGGTGTACTCACTTTTGTTGCCAGCGGTTTAGACATTAATGGTTGTATGTTGAGTTATTTTGAGGGGACAGCAAATTTACACTATTATACAAGCTGTACACTCACTACTTAACATTGTAGCAAAGAGTCATTTCTCCAGTGTTGTCACATGAAAAGATATAATAAAATATGTACAAAAATGTGAGGGGTGTACTCACTTCTCTGAGAGATATTATATATATATATATATATATATATATATATATATATGCGTGATTTAGCACAGCCCTGCTGCCCTATAGCAGTAGTTCTACTATAGGGCAGTGGAGAAGTGGTTAAATCAGGTTTTGCAGCATTTAGGCATATTTAAATGCTTTTTATGTGTTTACAACTTTTTAGCCACATTTAGAGGTTCTAAATGGATCATGGACACACACAATTATATTTTCTCTAAACACAGCTAAACCTACCAAAGGGGCCAATGGACACAGACAGCGGTGCTCAGGATCAAGCCTACAGGTGTGCCACAAATGGAAGCAGCTTCCTATGGTGGCACATTAAGAAGAGGAGGAGCCATGAGTGCTGGCAGGGACGTGAGAAGAGGAAGTACAGGGCTTCTTTGTGAAACTCCATTGCACGGAGCAGATAAGTATACACCTGTTTGTTATTTGAAAAAATAAAACGTTAGACTTTACAATCACTTTAGCGACCCGTCAGTAGACTAAAAAATATAAATTAAATTCATCCTATGAAGAAAAATAGTTTATTCTTGCTTTTCCTGTGGGCAGTGAGTCAAATCTTCTCTCTCTTTAAGAATTAAGGGTCCCTCTGTGGTTCAATCTTCTACCCCCTACATCTCTACCTGACACCGTAGTGATAAAGAGGTCAGCGGAGGGATGTGTCATGGCCCATAGGTTTGAAACCTTTTCACTAAAAACACACATATTTCTGGTGTAAAACTGAGTAATCAAGTATGATATTAAGTTATACATTTGTATTTTTAGCTTGGTGGTATTTCTTCTTGAAACAACTAAAATTAAAATTGTGCAAGTCTTCAGCTAGTTTCATACTTTGTTTTGTGAAACATATTTCTTAGGGTATAGCATGACACATGATTTACAGCGATAATAAAAAAATCCATAAGGAACTCTTTACAGAGGTGTCTTGGTTGCAAGACATAGGAACCTTTCCTACGAAAATTAATGGACATGTTTTGGTTTGATAAATCTATTTTTTACACCATTCGCCCCCATTCTGCCCCAAAGGAGATTTCTGGAAATCTGTGCTCTGATGGAACGCATGTTCCTAAATTAGCTTATTATGGTTTTTGTATTGCTAGTTCTTGGCTGTTGTAAAACAGCCTTATTACAAATAGCTTTTTTTAACTAAAAGGACATGTTCCTATTTGTATATTGTCCTTCCCTTCAGTGATGTGTTTTCTCAATAAAGCTAAATGCCTGGATCTGGTAATTCTAGTATTTAAAGCCATGTTATCATACTCAACTGCTCCTAGCAATTTAGTGCAAAAAGTTAGCAAATCACCTGTGTAAGATAAAAGTATATTCAAAGGTAAAACCTTTTTTCAAGTTTTAATAATATGTGGAAACCCTTGTCAGACTTTTATGCCTGTTTGTGTTCTCTCTACAGAAATTCTATTAGACCTGGTGATGTAAAAATTAAAAAAATGCTACTTTACTGTTGTCACTGGAACAGGGGGTGAGGGGCAATCATCTGTGGACTAGAGACAAATGTTCTATTGGCATGTTAGCTGGCATTTTTCCTCACTTTGAAAAGAAATTATCCCACTTCCTGAATTGTCTCCAGGATAGGAAGTGCAAATAAATGACATAGCAAAATTTAAAAAAAAAGAATGTTTTTTCGGTTTAGAACTACAAAAAAGTTTTGGCTTTAGATATACTGTACTTTAACCACTTTTCCATCCCTGTTGTAAAATATCCTTCCGCTCTCGTCACTTGTGGCTACCCTCTAGCATGAGCAGCTGCATGCCCTGTGATCACTGTGTCCTTGACAAACAGTATATCACAGATCAGGGTACAGAGCCAATGAAACCTAGCCCTGCACCATGTGATTACTGTGACCAATCACAGGAAGCACATATGTAAACAAAGCTGCATTTTGTTTGTGAAATAAAATTAGATTTAATTTTCTTTCTTCATTTTCCAAAAAAACTTCAAAAAACACCATTTCTTACTAAATACATTGGACTTTCTACTTTCCAAAAAGGGATCATTTAGTGGGTACATGTACCATCCTGGCATTTTAGGACCTGTAGAGAGATAGATGAGATAGACAGTCAGAACATCAGAACTGATCAATTGTCATATATATATATATATATATATATACAGTTGCAAGAAAAAGTATGTGAACCCCTTGGGATTACGTGGAGTTTTGCATGAATTGGGCATAAAATGTGCTCTGAACGTCATCTAAGTCACAACAATAGAAGAACACAGTCTGCTGAACATAAATACAAACATTAGATGTTGCCATGGTTTAATTGCACATAACATGTAAACATTCACAGTGCAGGGAGGAAAAAGTATGTGAGGCCCTAGCTTAATGACTTCTCCCAGAGCTAATTGGAGCTAGGAGTGAGCCAACCTTGACTCCAATCAGTGTGATGATATTGGATGTGTTGCTGACAGCTGTCCTGCCCTTAAAAAAACACACACCTGTTTTGGATTTACTGGTTTCAAGAAGCACTGTCTGATGTGAACCATGCCTCGCAGAAAAAAGCTCTCAGAAGACCTACGATCAAGAATTGTTGACTTGCATGAAGCTGGAAAGGGTTACAAAAGTATCTCCAAAAGCCTTGATGTTCATGTGTCCACGGTAAGACAGGCTGTCTACAAATGGAGAAAGTTTAGCACTGTTGCTACTCTCCCTAGGCGTGGTCGTCCTGTAAAAATGACTGCAAGAGCACAGCACAGAATGCTGTATGAGGTAAAGAAGAATCCCAGAGTGTCAGCTAAAGACCTACAGAAATCTCTGGCACATTCTAACATTTTTGTTGACACATCTGCAATAAGGAAAACATTAAACAAGAATGGAGTACATGGGAGGACACCACGGGGGAAGCCATTGCTGTCCAAAAAGAATATTGCAGCACGTTTGAATTTTGCAAAAGAGCACCTGGATGTTCCACAGCACTACTGGCAAAATATACTGTGGACAGATGAAACCAAGATTGAGTTGTTTGGGAAGAAGACACAACACTAAAAAAAAGGCACAGTACGCCAACATCAAAACCTCATCCCCACTGTAAAACATGTTGGAGGGAGCATCATGGTTTGGGGCTGCTTTGCTGCCTCAGGGCCTGGACGGATTGTTGTCATTGATGGGAAAATGAATTCCAGAGTTTATCAAGACATTTTGCAGAAAAACGTACGACCATCTGTCCGCCAACTGAAGCTCTGCAGAGGATGGGTGATGCAACAGGACAATGACCCAAAGCATACAAGTAATTCAACAAAACAATGGCTGCAACAGCACAGAATACGCCTTCTGGAGTGGCCCAGTCAGAGTCCTGACCTCAACCCGATTGAAATGCTGTGGCAT